ACTCTGCACTTACAGAGTTCCTATAGCTATGCAAAACCCCATTAGAATTTAAAACTGAGCCTTAACTAAAACACAATTATCACACAGCTGTTACAATAAGCATTAGTTTGACAGCTATGCAAAAATGAGTTTAAAAACCCATCATAACCATTTATCATAAAAGTGTAAGTCTCCCATTTATGTAATTTTGCAAATGAACTATCACAGTAACTAACTCTTTATCTTAGATTAGCTGTTATAGGCCACACTAACATAATGTCAGTGCTGTTATAAAGAACCATACTGAACTAAATGACATAAAACCCCATATGCTTGGGTAGGACAGAGATGGATACAGACATAAAGGAACATCAGAGACCATGGCAATCACCATAAAATTTAAATCAACAACAAAATAATTGCGACTGACTTTTAATCACATGTAGCAGATCTAAGTCTTAGAGCTGTGGTAAAAACAGAACAAGAAGAGTGAGACCTTTCCATTAGCAAAAAACTAACTACACGAGTACCCCCAAGTCAGAGAAACTCAGCCAGAAACCTCATCCTTTAACAGGTGTCTCCATGTCTCTTTCCAAGCAATTTCAACAGTTTCTCACACTACTACACACCACCTGGTTTCTGAAGACTCAGTAATTCCTGAGCAAGCATCAAGTTAGCATGACACACTTTATCTGCTATTCAACAGCTTTTGGCAAAAAGAGGGTTTAAGCACAGAGGGTTTAAGAGGGTTTTTTGACAGCTACGGTAAAAGGCCAAAAGTGGCAGTGCACTGCTAGAACCACCAGAAATTCCTCCAAGATGCTGACAGGCTGTGTAAGAGGTCTGGGGGTCAGGAGCACCCCCTCAGCCCCTGCTACCAGGCTGCAGTGTCCCAGTGTGCTCCCCAGCAAGAGTGGTCCCTGCTTAGGAACCACAGTGATCCCAGGGATTTCCATCAGCTTCCACCCCCGCTCACCATCTCCTGTTCCATGGGAACAGCTATGTCACAGCAGGCCTGGTAGAAATGTCCTTGTAACACTTCACCACACATTTCCTTTAGTTGATAAGAATAGAGGCATTGCACAGACAAAACAGTGCCTGCAAGAAATAAGAAGCAGGATAAAAACCAGATGGCTGAAGTGAAGCGCAGGAAGACAGGAGCAATGCTTGTAGGGAGGAGAAATCATTTAGATGAGCTGAGATTGTGAACATGGTCTCCACACAAAGGAAACATAACCTGCCACGACACAGCCTGCAAGAGCATAACTATGAAATTTGAATGAAATATTGTCATCTATATCACCTAAAGGCTGAATTCTTTTCAAGCAAGTACCAGATGAACATGACACACAGTTTTTAATTTAACATCAGGCTAATGCAGCTTCAGCTGTTAAGGTGACTACCTGTCAACCACAATCAAAAACACCACTTGGAAAAATGTGATGTGATCTGTAACACAAGTTGAGGGCATGGACAGCATATTCCTTTACAGTACATCTATACCTTCACACTTTCCTTCCAGGCTGCTGCAAGCCTTGGCAGTGACAGAAATTACTCTTCCATCCCAATTCCTCAGCAACTCCATCCATCCAAAGACAAATGCTATCAGCAGTAGAGGAAACCACAAGCACCTAAAGCCCAGACTCTACTTATCACTGCATCCAACATGGACACGAAAATCTTTAAATCTGGCCAAAGACAGGGTATATTAATTCTTGTTAAAATGATATGAACCCAAAGAAATCAGTTCAGGAGAATTTCAAGCACAAAATATGATTCATTATTCTGTATTTTCCCTGTTCTTGGGAACAAAAGAACAAAGTTTAAATGTTTCAGCCAACACATTTTAAATGCATCATTTGTCACTATGTATAGAACCTGGAGATGAAACTTGAAAGAACTAAAAGAAGGTTTTCTTCACATTGTTTCCTGAAGCATAGTATAAATATTGCTGTATCATACAGGGATGCAGTAATACTAATTTGATTGGTAAAGGCAGCAGGCATTGATCTAATGAGCTTCTGCATGGTACTTGTCTTGGAATTTTTCTCCATGCCATTTCTTCTAAAGAATTCCCAAAATGTACATTTTAGACATCATTAATAGAGCAGTCATTAAAAAAGTGAAAGATGTGTTCTAAAACCAGGAGATTCTTTGAAAAATTAAAAAAACATCACCAAGCACTTTTGTTTCTTGTAAAATCCAAGACAGATCCACTTCTGCTTCTACACTACCTGTTCCTAAACAACCTGGGAAACCCAAACCTCCTTTGTGGAACAGCTGGCACGACCCTCAAGAGATGATGAGAACTGGCAAAAGCAATATAGAAAGGACAGGTCACTGACTTCCACTGAAATCAACATAGCAACATGACCAAAAGCACTTCAGTGATTATGAAGAAAAACTGGAAATAATTTAATGGAGACCTTATTTTGCCATGCAGGCAACTCCTCAGAAAAACTGGCTAAAGAGCTTCATGGGACAAGGGTTGGGCCAAAAAGCTGCCTCTCCTTGCAACTCTCTGTGAAACATGGAATGTACAGCCTCTAATCCCACGGAGCTCCTGTGATCTCACCTCTCACTGCCTTAACTGCATCTCAGATGCAATGTGCACAATTCAGGAAGGGAAACTGACAACAACGTGGAGGAAATCTGAAAGAAATCTGGGAGAATAACTAAAGCAGCGAGAAAAAAGAAAAAAAATCTCTGGCAATAGACTTCAAAAGATTATGTTCTTTTCATTAAGAAAAGTAAAACAAATTTATTAAAATTAGTAAGAATTCATATTCAAGGTATTTTCAGTGTCGATGAGGCTATAAACAAGACTCAGTGGCCAAAAATTAAAGCTAGCCCTCTTCATATCAGAAATACAATATAAATCAGTCACTTGTATACTTTACCAAGAACTGTGCTGAATTTTGCCTCACTAGAAATTTTTGACTACACCTTCTAAAAAGTGAGCTCTGTTTTCAAACACAGATTGGGAAAAAAGAAAAGCTCTATGGCCTGCATTATGAAGAGGTCAGATTAGATGATTGCAACAGTCCTTCTGACTTGATAATCTATTAATCTTATCAGACATGTCTGACCACTCTCAGAACGAAGTGCAAAGTCATCTATTAGCGCACCTATTTTAACGGGATATTTTTAGCCCGAGACTCTCTTTTACCTTTAGACGTCGTCGAGATGGGAACTGCAGATAAATCAAGCTAGAGACATAAAAGGCAGGCGATAACGAAAATCTCATCGCCTAGAGAATACTCGTTTTAGTTGGCAGAGTTACACAATCAAAAAGCAACCCGAAGCCAATAAGATAGCCTGTATTTTCCCCGCACTTCCCGGAACTTTGCAGAACTCTCCGTGGGACTGAATCGCTCCAGACAAGTTTTGGCTGAGAGGAGGCTCCGCACGCCCCGGAGCAGCGCTTTAGAGGAGAGGTTCTCCAGGCACAGCGGAGCGCACAACAGCGGAGAAATGGAAGGGCGCGGGGGATGCTGGCGCGGCGCGGCCGCCTCCGCCGGCCCGGTGCCCCGGCGGGCAGCATTGTTCGGCCGGGCAGCGCCGGTGCCCGCGGCCCCGCTTCCCTCCGGGAGCCGGGCACGGACGCGTGAACTCTTGAACCCGCGCCGCAGCCCGACGCGAGCCTCCGGGGCGGAGAGACCGCCCGCCCCGCCGCCGCCACCGCCGCGGGCCGCCGGGGACAGCGGGGAGCCCG